TAGATAGATAGATAGATAGATAGATAGATAGATAGATAGATAGATAGATAGATAGATAGATAGATAGATAGATAGATAGATAGATAGATAGATAGATGCATATAGATAATAGATGTTGACAGATACATAGATAATAGACTGATGATTGGATGATAGATAGATAGATGGTTGGTTGGTTGGTTGGTTGGTTGGTTGGTTGGTTGGATGGATGGATGGATGGATGGATGGATGGATGGATGATACATAAATGTTTTAAATATACAGGTAGTCCTCAATCTATGACAACAATTGAGCCCCAAACTTCCATTGCTAAGCAAGGAGAGTTGTTAAGGAAGTTTACCCCATTTTATGACCTTTCTTTCCATGGTCGTTAAGTGAAACACTGCAATTATTAAGTCAGAGACATGGTTGTTAAATGAATCTGACTTCCCCATTGACATTGCCTGTCAGAAGGTGGCAAAAGGGTCCCTGGGAGACCCTGCGACCGTCATAAATACGAAGCAGTTGCCCAGCGCCCAGATTCTGACCACGTGACCACGGGGTGTGGGCTGCAATGGCCGTAATTCTGTGAAAAGTGGCCACAAGTCCTGTTTTCCAATGCCATCGTAACTCTGAACAGTGACTAAACGAATGGTTCTCCCTGTATTGCAAAACTGGCCCCTTTCACACAGCCCATCTAATCCAGACCAGGCCTCCTTAGGCCTCCTCAGCATTCGAAGCCTGGCTAAATTAGGAGGCTCCCCAGGGTGGCTTAGCAGCCCCACTGACCTGGTTTGGGGGGCTCCGTCGGCTTCTTGACGGGGGCGTCCTCGGCCGCCTGCTCTGCCCCCGGCGTGGCCCCGGCGTTCGTCCGGATCAGCTTCGACGTCAGCGACGAGACCCCCGTCACAGCCCAGCCGGCCCAACTGGCTGCTGAGCCCACCCCGGGACTGATGGACGCAGCCTGGACATCTTTTTCTAAAGAGAGAGAGACAGAAAGGGCAGGGTCCTGGGTTCAAGTCACACCGCTGTAACGTCAGGAATGTCCTTTCTTTCTTTCTTTTGCTAACAAAGGGGTTTTTTGGTTAAAAATTCTAATATATTACCGTATTTTGGAGTATAAGATGCACCTTTTTCCTCCCTAAAAGTGCGTCTTATACGCTGAATGTAGCCCCACCCCCACCCTTTGGCCTCTGCCTCCCAGCAATTTACCTCCTGTTGTTACAGTCTCAAACTCCCACAGCTTCCACCTTAAGTGGTCTGCTGTGGACCTCAACCCATTCCTAAGAGGTGTGTAAAGGGGGCGCATAAGCGCATCAGTGTGCCCATGGTCTCTGTCCCACTGTCCCCGTTGATTTGTATTCATTTCTTTCGTTCATGTCCATGATGTTTATATTTATACCTGCTGTCCTGTACATGTTTGACAAACTAAATAAAATAAAATAAATAAATAAAACTTGGCAACTTTTAAGACGCGTGGACTTCAACTCCCAGAATTCCCCAGCCAGCATTGGTCCCTTCCAGCCCTAGAACTCTATGATTCCAGCAAACCAGATCCACAAAGCCCAAATATCTTGGGCGGGGCCTCGCATCCTAAGCAGGAGGTGTGGCCAGAGCTCAAAGCAGGAAGAGGGGGTGGGGTTTGCAAAGTGGGCCAAGCCGGGCACACAATCCTGGGCTGCCAGTTGCTGACCCTGGTTTAGTCAAACGACCAGGCCCGACGTCCAAACCCGACTCTTTGGCTCCTATTGGTTGTCAGGATGGTCTCACCGAGTTCTGAGAGCTGGTCAGGATCTTCGGACACGGTCTCCAGTTTAGTCATGAAGCTGCGGATGGCTTTGAAGGCCTGAGGAAAAAGAGCAAAGAAAGAGACACGTGTTTGTTTGTTTTTTAAAGGCCAACCCAACCAAAAGCTTCCCCCACAGCTCTGCAAACTAGAGGTAGTCCTCGACTTATGGCCATTCATTTAGTGACAGTTCAATGTTGCAACGGCACTGAAAAAGCGACTTACGGCCATTCCAGGAAGCAAAGTCAATGTGGAAGAAGCTGGATTCACTTAACGACTGTGGCAAAAAAAAAGGTCAGGCTTCGGGCATGAACAACCACACTGCTTAGTAACAGAAGTTCCAGCCCTAATTATGGTCGTAAGTCGAGGACTGCTTTTTATTCTATCAAAAGCCACCTCTTTTAATTTGTGGCTCCAATGCACCAAAAGATGCGGGCATTTTTATTTTATTTTTCATTTTTATTCCATTCCTACCCCACCTTCTCAGTAACCCTGGGCATCCTGGCGTCCTTCCCTCGGATCGCTCAAGGGCACACCTGTAGGGCAGAGATTCACCTGGTGGAAAAGCACCTGTCCTACAGGGGTGCACCTGTGCAATATGAGGCTAGGACGGAGCAACTGAATGGGGGAACTGGGTCTGCCAACAGAGGACAATATTTGGAGCTCAGGGTTGAAACGAGGCATCCTTGGCGCTCTCTGAGCTTGCTTGTTTTCATGCAGGCGTTTCATTGCCAACCTAGGTAACATCATCAGTGCTAAAAGGGATGTGGGGTTGAGGAAAAGGAGGAGGAGGAGGAGGATTGTGGGGTCCTTGGTGCTCTCTGTGCTTGGCTGTTTTCTTGCAGACATTTATGACCCAACTAGATAACATCATCAGTGCTAGAAGGGAGTTGAGTGTGCAGAGAGGAGGAGGAGGAGGAGGAGGAAGAGGACTGTGGGGTCCTTGGTGCTCTCTAAGCTTGCTTGTTTTCTTGCAAACGTTTCTTTCACTATCAACATCATCAGTGCTTCTAAGGAGTAACAGCAAACAGCACTCCTTACAAGCACTGATGATGTTAGCTAGGTTGGTAATGAAACGCCTGCAAGAAAACAACCAAGCTCAGAGAGCACCCAGGATCCCTCAACTGGACCTGCTTCCCCCGTGGACGTCATTCTCTGCCCTCCCTTCAGAAACCCCCCAGGGGAGTTTCCCCCACCACCACCACACCCCACGCCACCCCTCACCTCACCTGGTCCCGGACAGTTTTTTCGGAGTCCACCGTCAAGGTGCACAGCACCGGCAGGATTTTGAAGGCGCACTCTTTCATGGAGAAGAAGTTGTGGGTGGCGGCGAAGCCCAGGACCCCGGCCGCCCGCGAGGGGGCAAAGGGGTCTTTGGTGGCCCGGCTGAAGGCCGAGATCAGCACGCTTTGCCTCGTCTGCAGAGAGAAGATCCCGGAAACAAGTTTGAGTTCACCTGGAATAAGACATTGCAGCAAAAAGGAGGGAGGATTCTTACTCCCCCAAGGACAATCCTCGGAGTATTTGACACAGGGAGTCCTTGACTTACGACAGTTCATTTAGTGACCATCCAAAGTTTCAACGGCGCTGGGGGGAAAAATGACTTTATGACCGTTTTCCAGAGTTTTACAACCTTTGCCGCCTCCCCGTGGTCACCGGATCAAAATTCAGAGGCTTGGCAACGGACTCATATTTATGACGGTCACCGTGTCCCGGGTCGTGCGCTCCTGTTTTTGCGATTTCATTGCGGGAGAATAGATTCACTTCACAACCGTGTTACTAATTTAACAACTTCAACGATTCACTTCACAACCGTGTTACTAATTTAACAACTTTAATGATTCACTTAACAACCATGGAAAGAACGGTTGAAAAACTCACTTAACAACTGTCTCGCTTAGCAACAGGAATGGTGGGCTCAGTTGTGGTTGGAGCTCAAGCACTACCTGTATATCAGCGAGTCCATCGTTTAAGGCTAATACTGGTACAAAGAACAGTGGCACACAAGATGTATTGCAACATGCGGGGGGTTGGACTAAATGACCTCTTAAGGTCCTTTCCCATTTCATCATTCTAATCTTAATTCATATCTAATCCATTGAACATTCACATATTACAGGTGATTCTCAAATTATAACCAGTCACTAGACTTTTCAGAATAACAGCTCTGAAAAACAGAACTGATGTCTGGTCCTCGCACTTACGACCAATACAGCATCACTGTCGTTCAGCCACTTGTCACCTTGCAGTGTCCAGAATTCGCATCATTGCTAACTAAGTCAAAGGAGAACTTCCCAAGTCACAATCATGTGATAGCTTGCTTAATGACCATGGTGATTCACTCAATGACCATAGAGATTCCCTTAACAACCCTAGCAAAAAAGGTAGCAAACACAGGTGCAGTCCTGCGATGCCTTATTTAAGCACTGCAACAAATTTTCCAGTCCCCATTGCGGTTGTAAGTCGAGGACTTCCTGTCTGTGATCCTATGTCCAGTTTACCACATCCTTCTTCCCAACTCTCTCTAAAACACAGGGATGTCCAGCCTTGGGCACTTGAAGACTTCTGGACTTCAACTCCCAGAATTCCCCAGCCAGCCTTGGGCAGTGGAGTTGAACTCCCAGAATTCTGGGAGTTGAAGTCCCCAGGTCTTATAATGGCCACAGTTGGACATCCCTGTTCTAAAGTTTCCCAGCTTCCCACCGCCTGCTCCAAAAGCCGCCCCTCCCCGCCTGCTGCTTCCTTGAACCCGTGCCCACTCACGCTGGCACTGAGGTATGGCCCAATCTTGCCCAGGCACACGGTGGTGTTGCAGCGAATGGGGCCCTGGTCGTCGCGGGCCTGGAGACGAGCGAAGTGCTTCATGAGTTCCACATTGAGGTTGGCCTCGTTCAGCTTGGGCGCCAAGAGCAGCATGGACTGTGCGGGAGACACAAGAAGCCCCTTAGCAAGAAGCCGTAGGGCGGGCAAACAAGGGCAGGGAGAAGGGGCCCCAGGGTGGGGGATACTGGGAGGTGGGGATAGTCTAGAGGAAGAGGCCCAGTCACTCCCTGGACGCAGGGTGGACATTAAGAGACAGCGACACTGGGATCACCTTGTGGTCTTTTTTCCAGCCAAAGAAGAAAGGTTCGGAAGGGAGGGTGTAGATGACCTCACCCACTTCAGCTTCGGGCTCCTCCTCCCTCCCACTTCCATCCCCCCCCCCCATTATAATGTAAGCAGGGGTGGGATTCAGCCAGTTCACACAGGTTCAGGCAAACTGGATGCTTAATTTTACCTCTGGTTCGTTGAACTGGTAGTTGCAAGGACTGGCTGGCCCCACCCACCCCTCCCCTCCCCTCCCTGGAGTCTTCACGTGGCCCATTTTGGTCTGCGCGGAGGCTCTGGGAAGGTGAAAAACGGCTCTCCCGGAAGTTCCCGAAGCCCAGGAGAGGCTGTTTTTGCTCGCCCGGAGGCTCGAGAAAAGCCTCCGGAGTTTGGGGAGGGAGAAAACGGCACTCTCCCCCACAATGGTGCAGGAGGCATGGCCATGCCCAGCATGGCCACGCCCACCCAGTAATCAGGCAGAGAACCGGTTGCTGCAATTTTTCAATCCCTCCCCTGAATTTAAGAGCCACCCACACCCCAAAAACATGCCCTGGGGGATGGTGACTCCCAACAGATGAATGGCTGTTTATCGCATTTGGCAGGGTGGGGCGTCAGGGGCTCCGTGACCACCCCCCCAAGAAGTAGAGAACTTGACATCTGTCAGTCTTCCAGTGGTAGGTTGCAGGCGGTACCGGTGATTGCCAGAAGCAGCAGCCCCCGTACCGGAACGGCCCGCCTACCCTCCCTCGTTCCTTACCTATATTTGAAGGAAACGGGGCATCTGCACATGCACCACAGAGTACGGCGCATGCGTGATGCTCCGCCAAGCAGCTGGAGCGTCACAGGTGGCGGTTGCACATGTGTGCACAGCGTGCGTGCCCGGCTCCCGCTGCAACATACCGATTGCAACGGGAGCTGAAACCCACTACTGCAGTCTTCCTGGTCGGGAAACCCAACAGGATGAGCTAATTCTGCTTAGGTGTAAGGTTACCTTAACAAGATTTTGCAGGTCTGAAAGTACGAACCCCCCACCGTCTCTTTTACAGCCTCTGAAACTAGGGAAACGCTCTTTCTCCACCCGTTAGGCAGCTGAGGGCGAAGCAGTCTCTTATCTTATCTTTTGCCTCCCGCCTTCCAAGGCCTTTCTCACACCCCTTGCAACAACTCACCTTCACCGTCTGCTCCCGAATGGCTGGGTTGGTGTCCAGGAAACCATGGACCACATGGGGGAAGATCTGGGTGTTGACCGTGGGCTCGTTCAAGTACTGAATGAAGTGCTCCATCTGTAGGGGAGACGCCGGCAGTCAGTCAGCGCTTGAGGTACAAAAGCCCCCCGCAATTTCTCTCTCTCTCGCTTGCCCCGGGTTCGCGCTAAAACCGTGCGCTAACCCCATGGGCTGCATTCACACAGTTTAATTTTTTTATTTACCATGCCTTGTAGGGTCTTATTCTCCTTTGACCACCGAAATAAGTGCCTGGCCTTATTTTCGGGGAGATCTTATTTTTGAGGTGCAGGAGACGGCGAGCATGGTCACCTCATGGCTGCTGCTGTGTTGCAATATTTTCAGGGAGGGCTTGTTTTCGGGGCGAGGGCTTATTTTAGCGAATGCACTCAAAAGCCCAATTGGGTTTATTATCCGGGGAGGTCTTAATTTCAGGGAAACAGGGTATTTGTCTCCTGCCTTCGTTATTATTTTTTAACGCCCCTGTAATCCAGAGGTCCTCAACCTGTGGGCCACAGCCTATGTGCAACCGGTGCATGTCAGGGCATGCAATGCATTCGTACACAGCCCCCTCATGCGAGCACCTCGGGGGTTCGGGTCCACGCTCATGCAAACAACCGGTGTTTGCATTTACCCCTCCCACTAAACCATCCCCTCTTCCCCTCTCTCAACTCCGGGACAAAAACCCAGAAAGATTGGGGAACTCTGCTGTCATCCCTTAATTCAGGTTAGTCGGGGCAACTGAATGGGGCGGAGCAATTATTGACCGGATGCCCTTCCTGATGCCTACACAGAGTTCACAGCAGATGTTTTCTCTTTAAAGCCCGTTGATTTCAACCGCTTAACTCATGCAGGGCTCAAACCTAGGACTCGATTTAAAGAAAGAGCCAAGGACGCAACTACGTCCTTTCTCATAACAAATGCACAACCCACAAATGCAACTCTTTGTGATTTGGACGCCAACCTGTTGTAGCAAACGGATCCTCATGGCCCGATCTGGGGAAGAGAACATCTTCACAATCACAGGGATGATTTTTTGCTGGTATTCTTGGCTGTTCAGAAATTTCCCCACCTGGAAAATGGGAAAAGAAAAGCAGAGTAGGAAGAGAGAAAGAGAGAGAAAGGGAAGATTTCTAATTAAGCATCTTGAATATACACAGCAGGTTGTTCATTTGTGTCAGAAGCATCACAATTAAAATAAGTCGTGCTACCTGACATAAAAACCATTATATACATACACACACACACACACACACACACACACACACACACACAATGTGTTCTGTTAAGATACAGCCTGTTGTGCCTTCAAATGACTTCTACTGCACTGCCATAAAATGGCTTCTACTGTACAGCAGTGGAGTTGCCACAGTAGTCCACCATGGGGCTCCCTCTGGTAAGGGGGAAAATCCAACATTAGAAATTACATTTGGTCCGGACATTTCCCCCCTATAAATAAATACCTGGAGAATTCCAGGTTATCGGCTAGTTTAAACTATAAAAAAAGCTTTGTGCAAATGTACAAATGAAGCAAATTTTGCCCAAATGAAGCAAGGTCTGCTTAATTTGTTTTAACATATCTTGTTATTTTATTGTTGGAAAAAGGCTTGATTTTTTAAAATTGAAACTAGCAACATGAATTGCGTTCTGTCACACTTCCATGACATCTTCAAGTGTACGTTGATTGAAGCAAAAAAAAAAATGTTGACAAAGATACACAGGTGGCTAGAAAAGATAATAGGGAAACCTGCAGATTTTAAACCTGAATTGTTTTTATTAGGCATAATGTCAGAAAAATGTGATAAGAAAAGTATTTAATATTACACGTCTTAACAGCAACAAGGATTATATTCACACAATACTGGAAAAATGAAGGTATACCACGAGATGATGAGATAATCAGGAAGATACTAGATTGTGCAGAAATGGATGGATTGACATTGAAAATTAAACAGAAAGAAGACACAGAATACTATCAAGCATGGAATTTATTCTACTACTGGTTGGAAAAAAAAGGGTTGGAGATTAAGAATGTATACTTGTATTGCTAAGCAAATTAAATATCTAGACAACCCGATGTTTAATAAGCACTAAGAAATGTATTTAATAGCAAATCATTTTTTTAAACAAGTATACGTTAATTGGACCAGAAATTGCAGTGTTGTTGCCTGCATGTCACCAATCGCAAAGAGCAGAAGCAAGCGGTGTGCCAGATTTAAAGGAAACAAAGACAGCCTCAGTACCCTGACCACAATCCCTATCCTTCTCCAAATTGGAGGAATCCCAGGATGAACATGACAGACAGGCAAGGAGCAAGGACTACTCAGGAGGAGAGCGCCCACCCCTCTTCACAAGGCACACCTGGGGACTGAGATGTAAGGAGCCGCTGTGGGAAGGGACATTTGTCGGGAATAAACGCTGAATTCCTGGAGTGATGAACTTTCCTGGATTCCTTGCATTCTTTCTAGATTTCTGAAATTACTTGCCGTGCTCCTTTGCTTCCTGAACTCCTCAACTTGCCCTGTTGGATTTATTGCTGTGCAGTCGTGGTACTCACAATGCTGGGCTGGACTATTTGCAGCCCGAGGTTGCTTGAGGAGTGTGTGTGTGTGTATGTGTGTTTGTCATCACTTTGCCCTGGGACTTGCCAGAAACATGGGAGTGTTTGGGGAAATTTGGAGCAATAAAGGGGCGGTGTCAGGTTTCCTAAAAATGCCCTAATTGATTCATGAGTATCGAGCCAAGTTTCAATGCAAAACTAGTCATTTATTAGGATCACCATTAGGCAAGATCTGTTTGCAGTTAAGCCTATGCTTTGTTTGATTTTTTGCTGGACTTTACCCCTGTTCCTTCCCTCCCCTCAGTCTGTGTCATAAATCACATTCCCCAATGAGGTGCACCCCTCCCAAACCTGCTGCCATAATCTGAGATTCGACTTTAGCCGAAAGTATGCGTGGAATGCGCTCCTCCCCCTTCTCTCACTATGGCAATGCTAGCAATTGACAGGCTGTTTGAATTGCTTGTGTTTGTGTTATCTCTGCGCCGTGCCCCAGGTCATCACAATCGGTGTCTCCTAAAGGAGGAGAGTGGCTTACCTTAAAGAGCGGGGTAAGGATTATGGCGCCCGCACTACCAAACTCAAAGGCCATCAGCAATTGAGGAAGGACCTTGTGACGACAGAAATCCTCAGGGAAAGTATCCAGATTGTCGCTGAGTTCTTGAAAAAACTTCTGCCTCTCAGCCGGCTCCTTAATCTGCGGGGGGGGGGGGGGGGAGCAGTAACCAAGAGTCATGGGTTCAAATCTGCCCCCACCCCACCCTTTCCAGCTTGGGGAAAGGGGAGGCATGGAATTAAAGAACGGTGAGGGGTCACTCAGACCAGATCTCCAACCAAGCTGGAGCCAGGTTCTGCAGAAGGATTCCCACCATAGAGATCCCATGTGGGAAAGACCCCGTAATCTAGCCGGCACTCAACAAGGCTGTCAGGATATTTAATACCTTTTTTCTTGGAATAAGCAACTTTGGGGGCCATTAAGTTGAGGTTTCGTGCCTGTATATTCTACAGCAATCAGTTAGTCAGTCAGTCTGTCTATCTAATCTATCTTCTATCTATTTATTATCTCTCTCTCCTATCTATCTATCTATCCATCCATCCATCCATCCATCCATCCATCCATCCATCCATCCATCTATCATCTATCTACAGTATCTATCTTATATCTATCTATCATTC